ATATATATATATATATATATATATATATATATATATATATATATATATATATATATATAAGTGAACATAGAAGTCAACAATTAGAGGCGACAGTCTGTTTCATGCAATCGTCAGGCCACGTGTGCTGTTATTTTTCTCGGCTATTTATATATATACGGGTCAGTGATGCATTGTGGGTAGTCTATTATGGTGGTTATTATAATAACAGGGCTTGATACTTTTGAAACATGAGAACTCTTATGTAGCGAAGGAATCATGATTTTTAAAAAAATAATTATAATGTAAGCTCTACTTCTGTATGGAGCACTGTTTTTTAAAAATAAGAACAAAAATACTAACGAACTCCGGATTATTTACCTAACGTGTTCTTTCCTATTTTTCTACATATCTGCACACACACACACACACACACACACACACACACACACACACACACACATATATATATATATATAAAGGCAAACATATAGAAATAAAAAGTGAGAAAGTTTAATAAAGAGAACATATGTGAAAAAGACAGAGATATAGAGATAGACAAAAGGAAAGTGAATAGTAAAGAGAATGAGAGAGAGAGAGTGAGTGATAGAAAGATAGAAAAGAGAAGAGAGGGAGAAAAGAGAGAAAGAGAGAAAAGAAAGAGAGAGAAAGAAAGAAAACAGATATAAAGAGAAAGAGGTAGAGAAAGGCGAGAGAGGGGAAGAGAGAAAAGAAAGAGAGAAAAGAAAGAAAAGAAAGGGAAAAGAGAGAAGACAGAGAGAAAGAGAAAAGAAAAAGAGAAACGTAAAAAGAGAGAAAGAGAGAAACGTAAAAAGAGACAAGAGAGGGAGAGAGAAAAGCGAGAGAAAAAAGAGAGAAAAAAGAAAGAAAAAAGTGAGACAAATCAAAAGGAAATGACAGATTTTCTATAAAATATTTTCATACGGTAAAAAAAATATTTGTTTTTATATTTGCTTTCTTTCTTGGGTCTTCTTAAAAGCTAAACCAACACGAGAAAAAGAAAGAAAGAAAGAAAGAAAAAAGAAAGAAAAAAAGACTTCCTCCTACCCACCGCCAAATATCTTCAAAACAAAGCCAACTGACAATATGATACATCCCGTGTACAACAGAAGAACTTGGAAAATCCTAATCATTTGAATTTAAACTAAACATTACCAATCAAGTTTCTCTTTAATTTCCTCGAGCAGCCGTCAGTGACATAATGTTTTTGATAATAATGGCCGACTTAATTCCGTTTGGTAAACTTTTTGCAATAATTGCAAAATTCAATGGCTTTGAAAAACAAAGAAATCAGAGAAAATACAGGAATATTAAATCTAGAATGTTCCATTAACCGGATGAAGAATTTGCACTGGCAATCCGAAAGCTTGGGTAATTAGATGTTTTTTTTGTTTCGGATAAAAACGAAAGGATAAAAAATATCGTGTTTCTATTAGTCAAAATAATAACAGTGCTACTAGTTATCTCTGATGTGGTGGTAGTAGTAGTAGTAGAAGAAGAAAAAGAAGATAAAGAAGAAGAAGAAAAAAGAAGAGAAGGAAGAAAAAGAAACAGGAGAATAATAATAATAATAATAATAATAATAATAATAAGAAGAAGAAGAAGAAGAAGAAGAAGCAGGATGAGATGGAGAAAAAAGCAAATTCGAGAATAAAAACGGAGGGAATATAAAAAATAGAGAAGAAGAAGAAGAGAAAGGAGAAGAACAAAGAAGAGAAAGAAGAAAGAAGAAGAAGAAGAAGAAGAAGAAGAAGAAGAAGAAGAAGAAGAAGAATGAGGAGGAGAAAAAAAGCAAATTCGAAAAGAAGAAATGAAAGAAAAGGTGAAAAAATGTGGGTGGAGGCTGAGGAGACTAAAACGGAGGGAATATAAAGAAGAAGAATAATGAAGAAGAAAGAAAGAAAAAGAAAGAAAAAGAAGAGAATGAAAAAGAAGAAGAAGAAAAAGAAGAAACCTATCGTGACTTTGTTTTAAAGAAGATTAGAGTAAATTTAATCAGCGAAATCAGGGTTTGATTATTTTAATCACTTCATTCCAAGTAAGGTGACAAAACCACTAAGACGCAAGACGGAGTTAGTGATAGTAAAAGAAACTGAGAAAACATCATTGTGGAGAGAAAGAACAATAAAAGAACAGGCTTCAAGAAGACAAGATGACGATTGCCATTGCATTTGTAATATTTGGAGATTGTAGATTGCAGTGAAACCGGAAGAATGTTCCCTAGGTAGAGAAATTCGAGAAGAAAAACTATTAACATAAAACTTGCGTTTGCATTACTTCATTGCTGCTGTTTCCAGATCCACCCTGACCCAGGGTGGTAGCACTTGTTAGGGTCTCAGCTGTAGTCAAATAGTGAACCCCCAAAATGGAATCAAAACACTATGAAAGTATAATTTTTTATAGTAAAAATACCAGCAATATATTTTAACAGAAAATTTTTTTTTCCAGCAACAAATTTTAAACAAAAATACCGGGTGTAACAGCAAAAATGTCCACATCGTGTAAAAGCAAAATTGTTCATTTGTTAGATTAAGCTTGGAACCGTTGTATCTTAGAAATGATTAAAAATATCTAACTGGAATTCTCCGATGTTTTTATCCAAGATGATCTTTGCCCTTTTTAACCTTCTAACTTTCTGTCCTGAGTGTTAGGGTCTCAGCTGTAGTCAAATAGTGAACCCCCAAAATGGAATCAAAACACTATGAAAGTATAATTTTTTATAGTAAAAATACCAGCAATATATTTTAACAGAAAAAAAATCCAGCAAAAAATTTTAATAGTAACAAAAATACCGGGTGTAACAGCAAAATTGTCCATTTGTTAGATTAAGCTTGGAACCGTTGTATCTTAGAAATGATTAAAGATATCTTACTGGAATTCTTCGATGTTTTTAGAACATTGACTCTACTTCGAAATATAATTACTCCCTAAGCTTAACAGAAGTGACGGAATGAAATGGGTCATAAATGAAAATGACATGTTCATCATTAATTAATTTAAGGATCGGAAAGTCATGAAAGATTGAAATAAAGTTCAAACACACACACACACACACACACACACACACACACACACACACACACACACACACACATATATATATATATATATATATATATATATATATATATATATAATTCCAGGATAATTTTCCTACTTATTCAAAATGATCTTTGCCCTTTTTAACCTTCTAACATTCTGTCCTGGAGTAACAAGGTGCCTGACAGGTTTCACGTACGATTTCATTTTCAAGTCTTTTTTCACTGCTGTTTGGACTGTCATAGCTGAAACTGCTCTCTCACGATGATTACTTATATTATTTATATTATTCGGACTGTTATCCTCATCTTCATTGCCATATTCACAACGTTTCGGCGCTCCGGCCTCCTTCAGGTGATTAGAATTCCGAACCGAACCCATTATTTCGTCCACCGGGATAGATTGTTGTAGTTCCACGTGCCATACCTCTTCGGGATGTCTCAGTTATTTCCCTTTAACTGTACTCTTCAAGTTTTGGTTCACCACTGCTGTGGCCTAGCATTGATCTCACAACTCTTTGGGCCTAGTCACTGGATTTAACTAACGTCTTTATCCAGTGGGTCATGTGACCTTAAGGACAGACTTACAAATATACAATTCTGGTGAGTAAGATTGTCTAGCACGACATAATGAACTGGCTTTCCTAAGAGCAGACTTGTTAGTTGATTCAGTGTAATCGTTCCACTCCATTTAGTGGCGAACCTATAGTTTTGAGGCCGTGAATCTTGAACAGATATAGAGACCGCTTCACAATCAACAACAATACATTCGACGATCTTACTGCCAAAATGGAGATTATGAATAGATTCTGATGCGCTAAACGAGCCCATAAAGTTGGGGGTTCGGTGTATGCAAGCCTGGCCCCCAAGAACATTTTGAAATTTGACCAATTACAGAGTAATTTTGAGTCCATAGGAAATGATGTTTTCTAAGACTGATATTAAGGATTTCAAACCATTGGCGTATGATTCTATCACTAAAATGGCTTTATTTTTTAATAAGAAAGACTTTAAAAAAACACATCGATTTTGTTAAAAATGAACCATTAAGCAAAGTTGCTCTAGGGGACCCACTGGGATGAGGTCCCTGAAGCTTCTTAAGATTCATGAGTTTCGTAGTAGATCTACCACTGACTTCATGTGGGGGTAGAACGTCACACGGAGAAGGCGCAAAGAGTTGATTATGCTGAAGAAGACAAGTAAAAATGATAGTCACAAAAAAGAAAGGAAAAGAAGAAAAAGAAGACGAAGAGTAGAGAAAAAAAGAAGAGAAAGAAGAAGAAAAAGGAGATAAAGAAAAGAAAGAAGAAGAAGAAAAATGAAGAGGAAGAAGAGAGAAAAAACAAAGAAGAAAAAGAAGCGAAAGTAGAAGAAGAAGAAAAGGAAGAGAAAGAAGAAGAAAAAGAGAAAGACAAAGAAGAAAAAGAAGCGAAAGAAGAAGAAGATGAAGAAGAAGACAGAAGAAAAGAAGACAAAAGAAGAAGAGAAGAAGAAGAAAAAAGAAGAGAAGGAAGAAAAAGAAGCGAAAGAAGAAGAAGAAGAAGAAGAAGAAGAAGAAGAAGAAGAAGAACCAAGAAATACAGTGAGCAAAAACACGAATCTAAAGGGAGACAATCCTGTGAGGAAATAGAATTTGATTATTTGTCAGAAGGTAAAAGAAGGAGATCAGAGGAAAGGCGAATATGGAAAAAAAATGTGTGGGGAAGGGGGGTGTAAAGAAGAAGTCGATAAAGAATGAAAAAATTGAAGATATTGAAGAAAAAGACGACAACAAAAGTCGCTGAAAAAGAATTTGGAAAAAAAATTAAAGTTAAGGTTGGTAAACGAGTAAAACTAAGGAAATCGAATATCAGGAAGCGGAGAAAAATAATTTTAATGAAGTTAAAAAAGTAAAAAAAAAAAGAAGGATAAGACACGCGTGTATTTGATGAGTTATCAAATGGAGAAGAAATTTCTACTTACCATTTTAAAGCAAAAAAGAAAAAATGACGTTGAAGAAATTGGTTGCTTTTGTACATTTGAAAAGTTAGAAGATTGCACGGAAGGAAATAGAAGTGTTACGATTAAAAGAATGGCGTTCCTTTCTTTATTGCAAAGTAATTGGTAAAACGAAATGGAACACAAAGAAAACAGAACCATTTTACTTTCAGTAAATGGAAATTGCTATGGAATCATAAAGAAAACACTGAAAAATTCTTCTTAATTCTTCTTGAAGTTTTTTTGCGACGACGAAGCTACATTACATTCTATCTATCTATCTATCTATCTATCTATCTATCTATCTATCTCTGTTCATATCTATCTATCTATCTATCTATCTATCTATCTATCTATCTATCTATCTATCTATCTATCTATCTAGTTCTGTTCATATCTCTATCTATCTATCTATCTATCTATCTAGTTCTGTTCATATCTATCTATCTATCTATCTATCTATCTATCTATCTATCTATCTATCTAATTCTGTTCATATCTATCTATTTAGGTCTGTTCATATCTATCTATCTATCTATCTATCTATCTATCTATCTAGTTCTGTTCATATTCTATCTATCTAGTTCTGTTCATATCTATCTATCTATCTATCTATCTATCTATCTATCTATCTATCTAATTCTGTTCATATCTATCTATCTAGTTCTGTTCATATCTATCTATCTATCTATCTATCTATCTATCTATCTATCTATCTATCTATCTAGTTCTGTTCATATCTATCTATCTATCTATCTATCTATCTATCTATCTAATTCTGTTCATATCATCTATTTTGTTCTGTTTATATCTATCTATCTATCTATCTATCTATCTATCTATCTATCTATCTATCTATTCATATCTATCTATTTAGTTCTGTTCATATCTATCTATCTATCTATCTATCTATTCATCTATCTATCTATTTATCTAGTTCTGTTCATATCTATCTATCTATCTATCTATCTATCTATCTATCTATCTATCTCATTCTGTTCATGTCAGTACATTAGTTATCTTATCTCATAATCTGGAGTTCCTTGAAGATTCGACCCCAGGTCAACGGTTATATTTAACGTGTGGATAACCACTGTAACGAAAGCTCGTATCAGAATTAATGGGTGCATGAACGTTTGAAGTTATTTGACAGTAAAGGATACTACATGAAACGCTGGTTTTTCCCTACAAAGGGTGACGCAGGTTTGATCCCTGCTTGCGAACACATTTTCTTTACTAAGATTCCCCGGATGCGCAGATCGTGATACGCACAGTTTAATAACAAAAAATGGATAGCCTATTTAAAACTATAGATAGGTAGATATGAACAGACTGAAATAGACACATAGATATGAACAGACTGACATAGATAGATATGAACAGTCTGAGATACATATATGGAGAGATATATATGAACAGACAGACATAGATAGATAGATAGATAGATAGATAGATAGATATGAACAGTCTGAGATAGATAGATAGATAGATAGATAGATATGAACAGTCTGAGATAGATATATAGATAGATATATATGAACAGACGGACGTAGATAGATAGATAAATAGATAGATAGATAGATAGATAGATAGATATGAACAGTCTGAGATAGATATATAGATAGATATATATGAACAGAGGGACGTAGATAGATAGATAGATAGATAGATAGATAGATAGATAGGAAAACTAGTAATTGCTGACGCGTTTCGTCCAATGTGGACTTTATCAAAGCAAAAAACGAAATGAATTTAATTGCTAGAAACATTCTGATTTGATTTTTATTAGTTACCTTGTTCAATTAAATTCATTTTCGTATTTTGCTTTGATAAAGTCCACATTGGACGAAACCCGTCAGCAATTACTAGTTTTCCTATTGTCATTTTTATTCATATATATATATATATATATATATATATATATATATATATATTGTAAAAATAAAATAAAGTAAAATAAGTAAAATTGACCAAATCGTGTAACAGCAAAATTGTCCACTTGTTAGATTAAGCTTTGAACCGTTTATCTTAGAAATGATTAAAGATAACTTACTGGAATTTTCCGGTGTTTTCATAACACTATAGGGCTCTATATTATTGAGCAATAAGAATGAGTAATTATTTACTCCCCAAGCTTAGCAGAGGAATCCTGATGAAATCGATCATAAACGAAAATGTCATATTCATCATTAATTAATCATACCTATGGATCGGAAACTCATGAAATAAATTTCAAATATATATATATATATATATATATATATATATATATATATATATATATATATTTTCTCTCTAACCTAAATTTCTGTCCTGGAGTAACAAGTTGCCTCACAGGTTTCACGTACGATTTCATTTCAAGTTTATTTCAGTGCCCTTTGGACTGTTATAGCTGAAACTTCTCTCTCACGTGTGTTGGATATTTTCAAAGTTGAAATCCTGATCCCTCTTCCTGTTGTGACCTCCTGAACCAGTTTTCCTCTATATTGTTCCCTCTTTTTTAAACTTATTCACCGTTCTCTTGATGGTTTTTGAATGGATTTGTAAATGGAAGCCAGAGAATGAATGTTGGTACCATTACTGAAGGCCTTCTGCCACCTCTCCCATATCACGTTTTTCCTCTCACCATTGCTCCGTTGGGAAGACAGTTGGACTGATACGAAACGATTTAAACCTGTTCTCTTTGTAACTCAAAGGGTTTTTCAGTGAATCTTACGATAAATGCTGTCAAGATGGTTAAAAGTCTTATATATATATATATATATATATATATATATATATATATATATATATATATATATATATATATATATATATATATATGCCTTTTGACTAGATTGAAGCAAGAAGAGAACGATTTTAAAGCCTTAATTTTCAGACGCGTCAGTGTGCTTTTTAAACATCAGATTCGTTCTTTTAGCGTCTTCATTTAAGAACCATGTAAAGGTCAGAAATAGTGGAAATAAAGAAGGCAGCTCCTCTGAACGTCTGTGACTTTCGAAGACTTAATTTTGAAGATAATTTTAATGGGGCCGCATCATACACGAGATATATAAATTGAGCGTATGTACTGCTGGCCCTGGCTATGCCGTTGAACAAACTATAAATTTAATTTCATATTTAACAAATTTAATGACATTTCTGATAATTTAAATTTCCAAGTTCATGACATCTATAACAATTTAAATTTCAAATTTAATGGCATCTCTAACAAATTTAATTGCATCTCCAACAATTTAAATTTCAAATTTAATAGCATATCTAGCAAATTTAATGGCATCTCTGACAATTTAAATTTCAAATTTAATGGTATCTCTAACAAATTTAATGACAACTTCAACAAATTAAATTTTAAATTTAATGGTATATCTAACAAATTTAATGGCATCTGTGACAATTTCAAATTTAATGGCATATCTAAGAAATTTAATGGCATCTCTGACAATTTAAAACAGAATTAGTTCTTGATTCTTGTTTATGATTGACTTTCCGATGTCTAAGGTTCCTTCCAATGTCTACGCCTAAAACTGAATTTATTTATTTAGTATTTATATAAATTTTTTCCTTTACTGTAGTAGTTAGATTTGCCTATTGTCAGGTTCAGACTCCTCCCTAGACTTTTGAAATGGAGTAGATGTTTATCCTTTGTTTCCTGTTTAGGAGTGGGTTTCCTGTTCCTTCTAAGGTCTACTTCAACTCTATATTTCTAACGACTCCGCATAAAACACTGTACTTTTATTTACTATTTATTTAAGTTTTTTCTCCAATCGGAGTTGATAAGTTTGCCTATCGTTCGGTTCAGACTCCTCCACAGTCTTTTAAATAGGAACATAAGTTTATCCCACGTTTCCTGTTTAGGATTCGGTTTCCGGTCCCCTCTCATGTCTTTTCCTTCTCTTTCACTTCCGGAGGTCCCTTGCGTTTTGCAAGCACTCGCTTGTACATGTCTTACTCTGAAACCATCTACCTAGAGTGGCACTTGGGCCTTGTACAGTGTGAACATCATTGTAAGAAAAGCTTAGTTTTATACAGTGTACGGATGAAATACCTTCCACATTTTAAACTGTGACCTGTGTGATGCTCGTAAGGTTACGCAAATGGGTTGGTGTTTTCATCTAGCTAATGTCTTACCATTTATTTTACAAATAACATCAGTTACCATCATGGCTTGGACCGGCGCACATCATGCGTTTGCTGTTGAAACTTTTTTTTTAAACTGTTGAATCTGTTATTGCAGCACAGAGAGCCGTTCGTGCTCATTTTATGTCATCTCGGAATGTTGCTCTTCCGCTTAGAAAATCGACATGGCTTTGAAAATGTCAGAGCCACAGGCTCAGCGCTGAAAAGAAAGCTACCTGGAAGATCACGAAGCGCTCGAACTTCCGGGATGATGGGAAACATTAGAGATCGGCTACAACAGTGCATGGCGAATCGAGGCCACAATTTGGAAGATGTCATTTTCAAAACAAATGAATAAAAACTGTAGCCATTGTTTAAATAACATCGAAATAACTTTTTTTTTTTTATAGCAGTTAACTTTCTTCTTTTGTCAACCCCTTTATAATGTGGGAGGTATTTTTAAGGCATCTTGTATATCAATTTTTAATGGTATCCATAAAGGTAGCGGTAAATATGTTAATAAACATTCTGGCATGTGTTCTGATGTGGCCTATTACTTCCCACCACTCCTGACCTCTAGAAATAGGAACCGCCATACCACCTATCCAAGGTCGAATGGTTCCCCATTCCCTCCGTAAATAAGACGTAAGTTCTATTCGAACAACTTCTTCCCAAGAACTGCTGCTTGCGGAATAGACCTCTGGCGAGAAGTTTTTTCCAATCACTACAGTGTTGGCCTCTTCAAGTCTAGGGTTAACTGTTTTCTTTCGTGCATAGTCCAATGAACTTCATTTCTTTTTATTACACTCACACAACACCCCAGACTAAGCCTATATCACCAGTTTCTCTTGCACCTTGTGTTAGGTAAA